GGAATTGCGAGAGGTATTCTAAGTATATTCTGGTGAGATTTTAAGCGAGTTCAGTGAAGCGTTCCAAGTAAAGTTCTAGAATAATTCCATGAGAGTTTCGGGAGAATACAAAGCAAATGCTGAGGAGATCTCTAAGCGAATTTTCAAAGAGAAATCTCCGTTCAGTATGGAATGAACTATTCTGAGGTCTTCAGTACTACTTGATAGTTTCCAAAATGTCCCTAAAGTTAATGCAACTGCCTTAACTTAACGTTCTGTTGTAGTTTGAGAAACTTGCCTGATGCTCACATTACTTTTTATCGAATTTTTAAACTTCCCTGATCTTTTTCAGACTACCTAAAGTTTCCTCAATCTTCATAACGATCATGGATCTTCTCTAAAGTTTTAACAATTCACTGAAGTTTTTCTTAAAAAATTGTGATTTCTCTAATGTTTTTCCGTACTGAGGTACTAATGCTACCGACGCCAGGGAGGCAACTTCCACACCTGGACCCTACCTATCGACCCATCAACTCATGGACCGGGACCAACAGCTTTACTTCCGTTCTGAAGGAAGGCGTGATCAGAGATTTTATGTCTCAGAAAAGCTCTTTAAGGTGAAAGGGCAATCACGCTTACCGCTACGCCACCGGCGCCGCTTATTTCTATAATGTTATCGGAACTGCTCTGAGGTTCTGTGTTCGTTATTGAAATCCTCAAAAATTCTCTAAAGTTTTGGGAGTTAGCATGAAGCTTGTTGTACTGCTTAGATTTTCATTCAAGTGTCTGAACAATGTTAAAGCTTTCGTGAACTTCTGAACTTATGTGAAGACATCAGTAATTTTCTTAACATCTCTGATCTCTGAAAATCTGGGAACTTCTTAAAATTTCTCGCTAATTTTCTGAAACTAATTGAACTGAACTCTCCTTGAAATTCTTGTTATGTTTGGAGCTTACTGAAGTTCTCTGAAATGCTTCCGCATTTTGCTAATGTTCACGAAAATTCTTGAAGTTCTCAGATCTTCCCTTAAGTTTCATAAACTTTTATGAAATCCTCGAAATGTTACAGAAAATCTCTGCACTTCTGTGAAGTTTTCAAAGTTTTTCTGAAATTTCTGGAACTTCTTTAAGCTCCCGTAATTTTCTTGGAATCAAAACGAAATAATCAATATAGTTTTATAATTTTCACTGAAGTTCTCAACATTTTTCTAAAGTTCATGGAACCACCCTTAAATTATTGACATTAATTGATAACTTGTTGAATAGTCTATACTTTCCTGATGTTATTAAAATTGCCCAAAATATTTCTTTCGTTAAATAGAGAACTGTTCTGAATTACTCAGCACCCGCAACTTGACTGAAATTAATTGAATTGACTTTAAGTTTCCGCAATTTTACTTAAGTTTTATAAAGTTTAAAAACGCTCACGAAACTTTGTCTTAAATCACTAATTTCCCTTGAACTTTTCTGGACATTTCTGAAGTTTTCTATGCTGTCCTGAAGTTCTCTAAATTTGTTTAATGTTCCGGCAAATGTTCTGATATATATTCATGAACCTCTGAAGTTTTCGGATCACTCATAGAATTCTAGGAATATCCCATAATTCCACGGAACTCCATGTAAATCGCTGCAAATTTCTTTAATTTAATGGGATTGTTCTGAAGTTACCTGATCACCTTCGAAGTACTCGGAACTTCACTGAATATCATGAAACTATCTAAAAATATCTATTCTCAGATGTTCTCTGCAATCTATTGAAGATATCGTTTCTTACCAAAAGTTATCGCATTTTTTAAAATTAATTGAACTTCGTTGATGTTCTCTAATCAACTTAGCTAAACATTCGTAATTTTTTAAGTTCCTGAAATTTCCATGATTTCTCTCGGAGCTATGCTGAAGTTTCCGGAACTGTTCTCGGAGCACCCCTGAAGCTCTCAAGCTATTGAAGGTCTCAGTTCTACTCTGAAATAAAAGAAATTCTCGTATACAGCTTAAAACTTCCCTGAAATTCTCTGGACTTTTGTGAAGTTTTTGAAATATTTCTGAAGTTTTCATAAATTCTCAGAAGGTCTTGTTCTTCCCTGAAATTATCGGAAAATCTTCGTTTTCAGCACACCATGGAGCCAGTGACGTCACCTTAACCTTAATCTATCTGTGCACCAACTCTCAAAACATAAACAATTATCAAAATATTGCTTGCAATGGATAAATATCGAGTTAACTAGAAGATTAAGTGTATTTTTCAACCGATTCGAGTATGAATATGGCATTTAATCTGTTTTTGAAAGTTGGTGCACAGGTAAAAAGTGAGGTTACACGACGCCACTGCATGAATTTTTCTAAAAACATGCTTATAGATCTTTCAACTGCTCCAAAAATCTGGACTGAAGTTACGGGAACTGCTGAATCTCTAAAATTCCCCAAAGACCTCTAGATCCAGCTTTTCTGAGGTACTTAGAACTTCTTAAAAGTTTCCACAATTTCCCTCACGTTCTCAATTTTTTTTTTAATGTTCTCTTTAATTCTACGAACTTCTTAAAATTTCCTGCATTTTTTCGGAACCGCTTTGAGCTAATTATAAACCTAGATATTATCCTTTAAAATTCTGGAAAAACCTGGAAAACTCAAGGAATTTTATTTAGGCAAATGAGTAGACACCCTGTAGATAGAGAAAGGCGATCAAACGTTAGAAAGGCCTATAGACTATCAGATCCTACACACTGCAAAAATAATGAGCAATCTTGAAATAAATTCACGCTAAAAATGTTGAAAATAGTGACTGATTACAAGAAAAAGTGACTTTAGTTACTTGGCCTAAAAAAAAGTGACTGTTACTAAAAAGTGACTCGCTACCAGCCCTGAACAGCTTCACTGCTACTCCGTCACTAAACATGTTAACCTCAGTTTCCTTATAAAAATCGTCAACAATCAGAAATATTTCAAGGTCGAAGAAGAACGTTTAGGCAACTTCAATGCTTAAAGCGACTGGTAGATGGTACACAGTGACTTATAGTTTCAGAGCAGATGTAAAAACAAAAAGATTCAAGGTTAACTAGGGGAATTTACGTATTCTCGTCAGTCTAAGCAGCGTCCGAACTTCTATTAGCGATTTCTCAGCGTCACACACATACATGATGCATTGAGAGGTTTGTTTGTTGACATTTATCTGCTGCTTGCTGTTCTACCCATTCCAATCGACAGAATTGATAAAAACGGGTTGAACATGTTTTTACAACGCTCCAAACTTCTCAGGTGAGTGTGACTATTGTCGGCAGTCTCTTTTTCTTCGGCACCCTTTCCATTTGAACTGCGTGTTAACCAGCTGTTCTATTATTGGCAACTCGAAATCAGCCGTATTTTGTAGCGTGTATATTTAATTTAAAGAAAAATATGGCATAACAGGATTGCACAGTCGTAAAAATGTAATCTGATTGAAGCTGAAAAGTTAAGGAATCGGCTTAATACATTCAGCGAAGAGTTTTGATGGTAAAATACTGCGAAATTAACGTTTCAATTTCGGTTGCCGAAAACAGTCAATGGGTGCCGGAACCATAATTTACCCTAACTAAAATCCCGGATATAGAAAAAAACCCAAGATTCGGGGGAATTCGTACCAAATTTTACTCCCAGGGAATTCGAATTAACCTTTCAATAGTCGCGCCAACTTTTGTAACACAAACACTCGCGCGTTGTACAAAATACAAGAGTATATTATTTTGACCTTGAGGGCCCGTCATGAAACCTGATATTCAAAAAAAAAAAACTTCAAGTAGGGGAATTTACGTATTCTCGTCAATCTAAGCAGCGTCCGCACTTCTATTAGCATTTTTTCAGTGTCACCCACATTTATAACGTGTCAGTTTGTTTACATTCATCTGCTACTTGCTTCTCTATCCATTCCAATCGACAGAATTTTTCAAAACGGTTTGAAAGCTTTTTTACAACGCTTCAAACTTCTCAGGTGAGTGTGACTATTGTCGGCAGTCTCTTTTTCTTCGGCAACCTTCCCATTAGAACTGCGTGTTAACCAGCTGTTCTATTATCGGCAACTCGAAATCAACCCCATTTTGTAGTGCGTATGCTTCATTTGAAGAAAAAGCTGGCATTACAGAATTGATCGGTCATACAAATATAATCAGATTGAAGCTGAAAGACTAAAGAATCGTTTGAATACATTCAGGGAAGTGTGTTGATGGGAAAACATAGTGAAATTAACGTTTAAATTTTGGTTGCCGAAAACAGTCAATGGGTGCCGAAGCCAACATTTACCCTATTGATTCATTGGACATGGGTATTAAATTTCACGTTGAGCACGTCCCAAAGTCACAAGGGTTTTCATTTTTTTTCGTGATGTACTTTGTACAACGATGCGAGTACTGAAAGATCAATGAATGACAATCGGGGTAGTCCTACATCCAGCTAATCACCCCGATCCCATTGACTCCGATACGGACGAAACATCTCAACATTTTGAACATTCATTATAGGGTAGGGACATATCTTATTGAACTATTTTAGGGTCCATTCCATTGCGGCTGTTCTCTGTTCGAAGCGGTAACGGTTTCTGTGTTGGTGAATTTCATAGGCTGTCGCAACGCAAACATTAAGGTGACGACAGTCCAAGTGCGAGAGCGAGGGTACACCGCGGGTGGCGGCTGCGCTGCTATAGCTCTATAGCTCTGTTGGCTTCAATGGATGGAACCGGTGCTATGGATGTGTATGTGTATTTGGGGGGAGGCGATGAGAACGATTATATTTGGGAAAAAACATGTATAATCGCTATGTTGGAAATTTTTTAAGCTCTATTTTTCCTTTACACCGTTTGCCCGTGTTTGGGACAGGTTCTCTATGGAATACGGACTATTTTAACCAGACGGACTTAACCTCACAGCCGCCGTCGTCGCCGCTTCCCACTCGTCTCGAAATCCGCAACATTCCTCTCTTACCCAGTGATTTGTTGTCAAAAAAGGTCAGAAACAGGAATGGAATTCTGATGAAATTATGTAATTTAAAAACGAAACGTACCTGCACACTAAACCTCGACTGCTAACGCCTGATTCCGAGATCGAATTAAAATTAGCCAATCACTTCTGGGTCGACTGGATAAAAACACTTCGAAAATCAATTCCTCCACGAAGTTTAACTTTTTCAATGCACTAAATCACGACCGATTTTTCCGATCCGGATTGGAGAAACACAAATCCGCACTTGTTTGGCCGATGGAAAATGCACTCAAAAATACCGATTGCGTTTCAGGCAATTTTTGCAGACTTTCCGCGAGACGAGAACCGAAACTGTACAGCTATTTGCACACAATTTTCATAGCGCCACGGAAGCCACGACGAGGGCAAATTAGTCGACCGGAGCTGAGCAAAAATTTGTGACTCTTCTGCCTTTTCGCTTTCAGAAGCTGATGACGATGATTCGTGTGTTTTTCTTGACTTTTTTTTCCTCCTGCCTGAGCTCTGGTGTGACGACGACGTTTTGTTATCTCCTATTTTTGTTTTGACGTTTCTCTCTCTGATGGCAAACGGAGTCGCCAGGCTAACCCTGTCCAACTATGTTCGTTGATGCCGTCGTGATATAAACAGGCAAGGCAATGTGAGTTCGTTGTCTCTTTCGATCGCCCGCTGTTTAAAAGGTTTATGGAGTGTGACGTCAAACTCCGTCATCGATTTAAACAGCCGAGGAACAAAATAGACGGCAAATTCTTCGAGCCTCACCTGTTTGCACTAATTGCGGGAGATAGTAAGTTGAGCGCCAAGTTAGCCCTATTGATGGCGATGGCATTGAACGCACTCTCATCGAGGAATGTCGTCGTAGTGGCGCGGAGGATTTCTTCAACCGAACACGTGATTGAGAACCATGTGATACTTTTTTTTTCTTATCTTTTTAGGTGCTAAATAGGTAATCCCTGGCAATTCCTGTTTTCATATTTGCGCATTGATATTTTCCTACTGAAGGCTACGAAAAATAAATTAAGGTGCAAACATGCAGTTCAGGTGCAAACGTGTATTGATGGAATCGATTATTCACTGAATTTAAATAATAAACAGCTACCACATAGGAAGATACCAGATGGGAAGATACTCAGCCAATAGGTGGTCTTATTGTTATTTTCTATGCGCATGTTTTACCACTTAACATTTTTCGGGCCCGCATCTGGCGATCTATACGAAGTTCAAAATGTATCAAAGTGTTTGCTGTAGAGAAGCAAACAGTTAGATTAGTGCCCCTGAAAACAGATTTATGAAATCTTGTCCTAAAGCGTATTCGGAAGGTAAACGTGTTAATTAAACGGGGCCTCCCTTAGCTCAGTTGGTAAAGGCGCAGCTACAGAGCAAGACCATGCTGGAGGTGGGGAATGGGAATGGGTCCGATTCCCGGTCCCGGTCTAGGAATTTTTCGGGATGGGAAATTTCTCACTTCCCTGGGCATAGGCGTATGATTGTAATTACCACACAATTAACTAATTAATGCAAAAATGGTACAGGAATCCGAAAGCTCTCACTGTGGAATTGCATCTAGAATACTAGGTTGAGAGCACGCAATAAGCTAATCTATTTGGTATCCCTAGACTCAACACATAAATCACATTTCCGATGGAAAATATCTATTAGAAATTCACATAACATTCATGTGATCTCATAATTAGGAATCGCACCATGAAACCCCATGACCCTTATGTTCATTAGTTTATGTGATTTATCATATAGAATTCATGTGAACATGTAAATGTTATGTGAATTTCATATAGAAAACATTAATTTTGTTATTGAAAACAATATAATTTGCATTCCCAATGGAAACTATATGAAAACTTTTTTCAGTGTAGACGAATGCACGGATCGATTTGATTTCACTCACTTGAGTAAAAGTGGCCCAAGCTGGGGGCAATGTTTACTAATCATGATCACTAAATCCATCTGTGCAGTCGTCTCTTATCATTATCCAAAGTTGTATTTTTAATTTGAAACTAGTATCTTTTAAGAGAGAGAAGGCGATGAAGTCGATGACTCAATTTCGTCAAAAGGGGATTTTTTCAAAAGTGAGGGCTCTTCCAAAAAAACTTCTACAATATGAGAAGATTAGATAGAGGTGATAGGTGAGTGAAATTTTTATGGATTTTTCCTGGTTTTCCAGGGTTTTTGCTCGGAAAATTCAACTCACTTTTGAGTAAATCCACTTTTGACGAAATAAAATCGACTCGACTCAATTTTGATTCGATCTGAACGACCGTGTGTTGGTTGGGTTATAAGACAACTTTAGTGAACTTTTCAGAATTTCCATTAACTTCACGGCGAATGAGAACGACCCAAATTTGAATTCAATTCAATCATAATCGCCAAAAGTGCAGGAACTCAGCGATGAGTAAATTTACCTCATGGTTTACTGTGGAAAACCTGCAAAATCTGCTGGAAAATGAGGGAAATTGACGAAAATTTTACTCAGTCTAGAAGTAGTACCAATATAGACTGAGTGAATCCAATCTTTACTTTTCTCATATTTGAGAAGTTTATCCTGGACAAACCTGCAAAAAACGTAAGGCAAATTTACTCATCGCTGAGTTCCTACACTTTATCTGATTTATAAGTTAACTGAGTTCCAATCTGGGTTGTTTTCATTCGCCGTGTTCTTTGAAGTTCCAGAAATTTCGATGAAGTTCCGTGAACTTCTCTCAAGTTCCGAAAACGACTCTCTAGTTTCGTAAAATTTCCCGATATTCCATGAACTTCTCCAAAGTTCCGTGTACTTCTCTGAATTCTCAAGAATATAATTGAAATTTATATTTCATGTTCTTCTCATGAACTTTTCTGAATTTCGGTAAACTTCTATGAGCTCCCTTGAATTCCTTCGCAATTTCTCTGTAATTTTGCATGATCTATTCTAAAGTTTTATCAATTTTCTTCCATTCCGGTAATTTCTCTAAAGCTTCTTGAAACTTCTCTGAAGTTTCAATAATATATCTGAAGATCCGAGAGCTTTTCTGGGAAGTTCTCTAAAGTTCGCTGAATTTCTCTCGGAACTTCATTTCAGTTCTCTCACTCAGCAAAACAAAAATTTTAAATTGACGTATGACATATTGATGTAAGAACAAAAAGCATGGATGTAGATTGGTTCGCAATTTTTGTGTACATCGTATAATTTAATATTACACAACTCACTTATGTGCAGCAGTTTTGATTTCAAAAACTTTTTCTATTAATTTATCTTGGAACTTCTCTCTAGATTTCTCGGAACTTTTCTGAATTTTTCTCGGAGCTTATCTGAAGTAGTTTCGGGACATCTTTGAAGCTCTCACGGAACTTCTTTTAAGTTCTTGTACTAAACTAAACTTATACTAAACTTGTACTAAACTGCTGCTTAGAATGTATCTTTTTAATGATTCATTCTGAAAGTTTGGTGCCTTAGAAAAAGCTGTTTATTTTTCAAAAATATGAAACTCTTACAAAGACGTCAACATTTTAGCTGCCATAGTTTTACAAATATTGTTTTTTTTTAGATTAAAAGCCTTTTGTACACTTAACTATGTTTTTTCTCATCAAAAGTTGTCGTTTTTATATTTTTTACTGACGTATTCCAACAAAACTTGAAACTCGTTCCTCGTGGAAAAGTCGTACGTTCCCTCACTTTCATATCACACAAAGCCGGGATGGCAGTGAATCTGAAATCAAAAGCAATGTGTTTGGACACATGGCCTTCTGGTGTAAGATTCCGGGAGTTCGAAGATACTGGTATAAAACGGATTTTTTTAAAAGCCAGTTCTATTGAACCCACTACCATCGTCATCATCCGAGATATCAAATGCAAGAAAGTAGGCGCTGGTTCCAGCCCTGCAGAGCCGGTTTCCTCCGGCACTTTCTCGTCAGAATCCTCAAGGCGCCCACTCCCTTACAATTTTTTACCAGAATGTCCGTGGATTGAGTTCATCAGCTTGTGACTATGACGTCATCGCACTGACCAAAACGAGGCTCGGCAGTGACGTATTGAACTCAGAGCTCTCGTCCAAATATGTGATTTATCAGCTCGATCGCATCACATCTCAACTGCTACGCGGCGGCGGTGTTCTGATTGGCGTTAATACCTTGTACAGACATACAAAGTTCACTGTTGTACTACCGTTGTACCATAGAGGTAACTCTAAGACCACTGGGTTCCGAAGAAAATCATTATTATTTTTGGCTCACTCAGTACCAGAACAACGGTCCCAAGCAGTCCCAAGCTATTTCACTCACCCCTGCATGTTCTGCATGAATCCACACACCCCTGATGTTATCTGTCAAACTTTCATAGCGAATCAAAACAAACATAGTGTAGTAATAGAATTTCAACTAGAATAGGGTACGTTAATCGTTTGCTTGGGACCAATAGGCTACTAAAGTGGTGAGCCAATTTAAAATCGTTAGTTTCGTATTGATTGTTGGTTGTACCATAGAGGTAACTCTAAGACCACTGGGTCCCGAAGAAAATCATTATTATTTTTGGCTCACTCAGTACCAGAACAACGGTCCCAAGCAGTCCCAAGCTATTTCACTCACCCCTGCATGTTCTGCATGAATCCACACACCCCTGATGTTATCTGTCAAACTTTCATAGCGAATCAAAACAAACATAGTGTAGTAATAGAATTTCAACTAGAATAGGGTACGTTAATCGTTTGCTTGGGACCAATAGGCTACTAAAGTGGTGAGCCAATTTAAAATCGTTAGTTTCGTATTGATTGTTGGTTGTACCATAGAGGTAACTCTAAGACCACTGGGTCCCGAAGAAAATCATTATTATTTTTGGCTCACTCAGTACCAGAACAACGGTCCCAAGCAGTCCCAAGCTATTTCACTCACCCCTGCATGTTCTGCATGAATCCACACACCCCTGATGTTATCTGTCAAACTTTCATAGCGAATCAAAACAAACATAGTGTAGTAATAGAATTTCAACTAGAATAGGGTACGTTAATCGTTTGCTTGGGACCAATAGGGTACTAAAGTGGTGAGCCAATTTAAAATCGTTAGTTTCGTATTGATTGTTGGTTGTACTGCTTTAAGCTAGTACCACAAATTGTACTTTTTGAGTTACTAGATTAAAGGAGTACAACGGTACTAATTTGTTGTTTGTAGCTGGTTCCACTGGTTAATGCCGACAGTTTAGAGCAAGTCACTGTGTGTGTGTGTGTGTGTGTGTGTGTGTGTTTCGTTGCCAATACAGTCGGTCTACATATGTTGCGTCTACATAAGGCCAAACTCAGACCCCGGCATTTACTTTTATCATGCATATTGTGTCCAACAAGTGTGTGCGCTTGCTGAAACTACTGATACAGTCATAACTTTGGGTGACTATAATCTGCCTACACGGAGAAATAATACTACCCAAAATTTGAGTTCTTTTTACTTAATATTGACTTCAGCCTCTCACTTGCACTCGTTATTGTTGTCAAAAAAGGAACAAGAGATTCGACCACGATATAGTTCAGCCCAATAAGT